TGAGCTACAGAATTTTTGGCTTTCACTTTTCCTCTTGGCTCCACATCTCATTCATTCTTTTGCAGTCCTTTTCAGACTATCAAAGTACCTGAGCAATATTTCAAATAATTTCCATTCATGTGATGCTGTAAAAATGTAAAACAGTAACAGGCATGTGAAACATGACTGGGATGATGTAAAATGTGTAAATTTCACATTCACAATATGTGGAATTTCCTGATAATATGGATTCTAGGCCTTTCCAGCCTTAAAGCCTGTTCCCCATTACTGTTAGTTTCTTCTATTTAATTTCCATTTTTGGTTTCCTATTTTTTTAAAGAAAAGAACAATTCAGCTTCTGGAAACTAAAAGTAGCTGGGTGACATGAGAACTATAAAGTCAGGGGGATAACTGGCCAATACTGTGCTCTGCAAGGCAGTGGAGCATAATGTAGCAGACAGAAGTTCACTGCTGCTGAGGTGCTGTCACCTTTTTTGTTGCTGACATGAGTGTCAAGTGACCAAAGAAGCACTGGTTTTATGTGACAGAAAAGGTGTCTGTCACCTCTAGTAGCAAACCACCGGGCATTTCTGCCACAGCTTTTGTGCTATCCCACTTTTGGAGTCAGAGCCAGAACTAGAACTGGAGCCACTACAGAGAAAGTGCAGGGTGTGTAGGGGTGATAGGAGGCAGCGTTCCCTCTAAGCTGTGTGGTGTGCGTGGCCGCACAGGTGTGCCTGGCAGCATGGCATGAGTGCGCCTGTATGGACACGCACACTGCAGAGTTTAGAGGAAATGCTGACAGGAGGGTGAGGCTCCTATTCTACCCAGTCCATCTGGCACTCCTCCCTTAGGTAGTGCCTGGGCTTCATGCCCCACCTGCCCACCTACCATTATACTACTGCATCTAATCTACTCTGATGACAAGATGCAAAAACCAACATTTCATTTACTGACTGCATAAAAATTTATCTTTTTAAAATTGACCAGGAACGTCTTGTATAAAAGGTCCTTTTTACTTTTCTCTCAGAATGAGGACATATAATTCTGCTCATGGACAGTCAACAGTACATGGGTAAATAAAAGAAAATGTTAATTAATCTTAAATGTAGGATCATAGGAACTGTTTACTGATTATAATTATATTGCCACACTAGGTATCTCACATAGATTTTGAAAATTGAAACTGGAAGCACTGACACAACTGTAGTTTTAATGACAGCTAAGCAGCCTCTACACATTCAGGTAAAGATGAGATTGGATCTAATGCACAGTCCACACAGTCAGACCGCACTGGTCAGACCACAGTTAGAATACTGCATGCAGTTGTGGGTGCCACACTTCAAGAGGAATGTGGATAACCTGGAGAGGGTCCAGAGAAGGGCCACTTGTATGGTTAAGGGCTTGCAGTCCAAACCCTAAGCGGATAGACTAGGGAACCTGGATCTCTTCAGCATCTGCAAGAGAAGGTTGAGAGGCGACCTTGTGGCTGCCTATAAATCCATCATGGGGGCACAGAAGGGAATTGGTGAGGCTCTGCTCACCAAGGCACCCCTGGGGGTCACAAGAAATAATGGCCATAAGCTAGCAGACAGCAGATTTAGACTGGGCATTAGGAAGAACTTCTTCACAGTTAGAGTAGCCAAAATCTGGAATGGGCTCCCAAGGGAGGTAGTGTTCTCCCCTACCCTGGAGGTCTTCAAGAGGAGGTTAAATAGGCATCTGGCTGGGGTCATCTGAACCCAGCACTCTTTCCTGCCTATGCAGGGGATCAGACTTGATGATCTATTGAGGTCCCTTCTGACCCTGACATCTGTGAATCTATGAATCGTGCCTCCTGCTCACAAGTGTTATCTCCCAGGTATGGGGGTGGGTGGGTGTTGAGCATTCTGAGGTTGGGAGATCACAATAGCTAGGAAATTGCAGCAGCTGCAAACTCCCAGCCACAGGCCAGAATGCCCCTGCACCCCTGTGGCTAGAAGACCACATTGGCTGCAATCTCCCAGTCTCAGGGATGCATAGTGCTCCCCAGTGCCTGGGAGAGCACAGCAGCTGTGGTCTCCCAACCGCAGGATTGTATACACAAGCAAATTAAAGCTGGATAGAAACCAGCTATAATGTCATTAAACATTTTTGAGCAATAACTATATAACTGGTTGGACCATTTAAGGCAAGATACTTGATTTGCACATGCAGCCAGTCTAAATTTACTGTGAAATTAACAAGGTAATTGTGGAATAGATATAATGTGTAGAGGGGGACATAAAGATCTAATTCCCTACACACCAGCTGCATCTACACAATTGCTTAACTGTGGAGTAAACTAATTAGAGAGTAAAGTATTACTCTCTAATCACCACATCTCCATGTGTGATGGTTTCATAGTTGTTAGGGTCAGAAAGGACCTCAATAAACCATTGACTTTGACCACCTGCCCTGGGCAGGAAAGAGTGCTGGGGTCATATGACCCCAGCCAGGTGCTTGTCCAGTCTCCTCTTAAAGACCCCCAAGGCAGGGAAGAGCACCACCTCCCTTGGAAACCCATTCCAGATTCTGGCAACCCTTACCATAAAAAAGTTCTTCCTGATGTCCAACCTAAATGTAGTTTCTGTCAGTTTGTAGCCATTGTTCCTGGTTATTCCAAGGGGTGCCCTGGTAACAGAGCACCTCAAATCTTTAAAAAAGGGAAGAGGGAGGACCCGGGCACCTATAGGCCCGTCAGTCTTACTTCAATCCTGGGGAAAGTCTTTGAGAAGATTATCAAGGAGCACATCTGTGATGGACCAGGAGCAGGGATGATGCTGAAGGGCAACAAGCATAGTTTCATTAGGGGCAGGTCCTGTCAGACCAACCTGCACCTGCTAATGCATGATAGAATGCAGCTGGCTTTACTGATTACTTTGTCACTTTGATGGCTCATATTCATCTTGGCGTCAATGGTATTAAGCTGCAGTAGATTAATTAACAGCCCAGTAAGATAGTATCAGGGGCAGTACTATCTTATATCAGGGTAATTTACTGTAATTTAATATACTTGTGCATACTTGGGCATAAATTCTGCCCCGTTAGCCCAGCCAGCCAGGTGCCAGACTCCTACCTGCCACCTAGCCACAAGGCTCCACACTTTCAGCACCCTCATGCCCCACCCACCCACTCCGTTGCCCAACCCCACTACCTGAGGCTGAACGTTCCTGGTGTAAACTGCTCCTCCCCAGCATAATCACCACAGATAATTATTGAATAATTATTAAATAATTATTTAGCAGCAATCATTGTAATGAAGGATGACTTAAACCTTGCTACAGGTGAAGATGATAAACAATATCACTTGGCATTTATTAGAAAATCTATATGCCCGAATAATTTTCTATTTAGACATAAGATAAAAAGAAATCAAGGTGTTCCATGAACTTCAGTATTATAAAAATAAGTAACTATGGATTTTTTAGCTCCAGGCAAAAACACACATTCAGGTGTAGAAACATTAAATCAGGTAAACATTACTTCAGGAATGGAAATAGTTGTCAGTGAAGTGTTGAATGGACTGCCAAGATGCTAATGGAGGCTAGATTTTGTTTAATAAATATGATCATTTAATATCAATGACTACAGAACTAGTGAAATAACATCTTTAGATTATTTCGCCTAATGTGTTGTCATTTTTTAAATGTAATATATAATAGACCAAATGAATGCACATTCCAATAGTTAAATATGTTTTTGCTTTAATCTTACACTACGTAATAAAGCCCTAAGCCCCTAATCTCTGTTTCTTTTTAACTAGAGAAAAATGTGTGTTTAAGGTGAAAATGCATGACAACATTTCAAAATCCTAGGTCTTCCCCCTGAGGGATACTAAAAGAAACTAGACTAGGCTGGGGGTAGGGTACTTAGTACATGCTCCCTTGGGGGAATTTATGGCAGGTTATTGCCAGGATTCTTCCCCAATAAGTTGTTTGCAACTCCTGGCAAGTTCTCCCTGAATAAAGAACCACTCACACATTGTTTAAGTTGAAGAGGCATAAGCAGCTAGCCACATCAGTGAGCCAGTAAAACCCATTTTAAATTTTCCAGGAAAATTATCATCTGCTTACAGAGTGGAGGTTTTGGGCCAATTCTCTTACAGAGGTTTAATTTGGAGGGGAAAAACTCCCTCTGACTTTCAGGTACATTAATGCCATCTATATAAACAAGTTGTACAGAAGCAAATTAAACATAAATTTGATTTTGTCTAATTATTGCTATTCTGAAACAATTTATCTTTTTAATAAATACATATGATATAATATGCCTTCATTGTGTGAACTTCTACTGCTTTCAAAAAGTGAGATATATTTTGTATATATGATTACAAAAGGAAAAAAGAAGAAAATTCATACTGAAATTCAGAATAGCCTCTACTGTCACATATTTCTTTAGATGTTTATTATATGCAAACTAAATCTGATTTCAATGATAAAAGTGGCAGCTACTTAATTACAGAAGACTTTCAAGTATTATTAGAGCATGGATAATGGGGACAATATAGCACTGAATCATTCTTATGCATGAAGAATTACTTGCATAGTTAGAAATGTTAATTGGAATAATGGACCACTTATTTATAAAGACAACAGCTCAATGACCCTAAGAGAGTTTAGACTGTTTATGGTGTTTTATTACTTTAAAAACAAAATTAAGAAATGGTCTTCCTTGTCTACCAAGCATACTTTGCACCACTCCAAATAAAATGTACACTACTGTAAGCACCCAGAAAAAAATCTCACTTTTCAGACCCTTACTTTACTGCCACAGTGGAAGCTTTCATGTACATGGATATTCTGCCACTTGTTCTTTGGCCTCATCTCTTCTCCTGCCCACCACAGAAGACCTTAGACTCAGTAAGATGTGTCAGAGAAGACATCCCAGCCATATTTAAAATTCAAGATTTATAACCTGATTCAATGTTCTGAAGACAATGGAAAGGTTCCTGCGTGGACTCTTTCCACTGGGTATAGATACCAAATGTAAATATTTCTTACCTCGGCAGGCAGGTAAAGGGCTACTCCACTGACCATTACTCCGGCACTGTGCTCGAGAGGCACCTTGAAGTAAATATCCAGTGTTGCAGGTAAAGTTTACGACATCATTCAAATTAAACTCACTGCCATTTGTTACTCCATGAGCTGGGTTCCCAGGATGTCCACATGTGATTGCTGTTAAGATAAAATATGCAGAACATCCAGCTGAAAAGAAGGTTCTATGGTACTACTTGCAGTTTTGAAACATTTATGTATTAACTTGCAACAAGTTGCCATTTCTTTTTAAGTAGATGTAAATTATAAAAATGAAAAAAACACTAAAATTGATTTGTGAAGACTTATTTTTTCATTTGTTGAAGCAAAATATTGAAAACATTTCCAAAAAAATGCAGACACTATTTTACTTTAAATACTGATATATTTAGTGAAATGTGCCAATATAAATCATTCTAAATGTATATATATATTTTGCTCATACTATCCTAATGTTATAAGCTCACATGGATATATCTGATACTTTACCATATTGCTTACCAGAACATTTAAAATAAAATAACTCCTGTTTCCTTTGCATGTTTCAAAATGTAATAGCAACAGAAGAATGACATGGTCCCAGCATTTTAGGTTTGATTTCGCACTTAGAAACATTCCTCTCCCGAACAACACATTTAAAATGACATATTATTGATTTATGGGAGGAGACAGAGATTAGTACTGAATTTACTAATATAAAGAAGAGAATGAGAGAGAGCAAGACCTGTAATAAATGTAATCTCAGTGATCTGGAAGACGGCATATAGTACACTCTCAGCAAGTTTGCAGCTGACACCAAGCTGGGGTGAGTAGTAGATACGCTGGTGGGTAGAGCTAGGATTCAGAGTGACCTAGACAAATTGGAGAACTGGGCCTAAGAAATCTCATGAGGTTCAGCAAAGACAAGTGCAAAGTTCTGCACTTTGGAGAGAACAATCCCATGCATCAGTACAGGCTGGGGGCTGACTGGCTGGGCAGCAGGTCTGGAGAAAAGGACCTAGAGATTACAGTGGGCAAGAAGATGAATATGAGCCAACAATGTGACCTTGTTGCCAAGAAGGCTAATGGTATACTGGGCTTCATTGGTAGGACTGTTGCCAGTAGGTCAAGGTAAGTGATTTTCCCCCTCTATTCAGTACCGGTGAGGCCACATCTGGATTACTGTGTTCAGTTTTGGGCCTCCCACTACAGAAAGGATGTCGACAAATTGGAGAGAGTCCAGGGGAGGCAACAAAAATGATGAGGAGGCTGGGGAACATGACTTATGAGGAAAAACGTAGGGAACTGGGCTTATTTAGTCAGTAGAAGAGGAGACTGAGAGGAGACTTAATAGCAGCCTTCAATTAACTGAAGGGGGGTTTAAAAGGGGATGGAGCTAGACTGTTTTCAGTGGTGGCAGATGACAGAACAAGGAGCAGTGGTCTCAAGTTTCAGCAAGGGAAATTTAGGTTAGATAACAGGAAGAATGTTATCACTAGGAAGGTAGTAAAACACTGGAACAGGTTACCCAGGGAGGTGGTGGAAACTCCATCCTTGGAGGTTTTCAAAACCTGGCTAGACAAAGGTCTCACTCGGATGATCTAGTTTGGGATAGTCCTGCTTTGAACAGGGGCTTGGACTAGATGACCTTTCCAATCCTACCTTTCTATGATTCTATGATCCATTATGTTGCGTCTATCAGGCCCCCAACACGTTACCTTTAAGACACAATTAACAGGTTAATTGTACCTTAAATAGTAACCTAGCCACACATGGAAGTCAATTTAAGGTGTGATAATACAATAAATGAGCCACAAAGTTATTCCAAAGATAATGTACAATAACTTTGTGGCTCATTTGTAGCATGGATTAAATTGAATGTGTGTCTAGGCTTGTAAGACCCTGCAAAACTCTAGGCTGCAGCAGGCCAATACCAGACTCCCCACATATGAAGCACTGTCAAGTTGTGTGCCACTCAACTGAGCAGGACATGGGGCTTGATAGCACCTCACACATGGGGATCCTGGAACCTCCATATACTGGGAGCTGTATAAACCCCATGTGTCACTCAGCTGACACACATGAACCACAAAGTTATGATATATTATAAATACACAGGTTGCTAAGCACTGAGCCACAGTAACCTGATGTCAGGCTCCCTCATGCACTGAGCTGATTGTAGGCTAGGACCATAGACTGGTTTGGTTCAACTGGCAATTAGCCAATTGGTTTCATCTTGCTGGTGCAGGGAGAACCTAAGCTCATAAGCTTGGGATCCCCCTGCACCAGTAAGTAAGGTGTGACTGGGATCTAATCTCTGATCTTAAAATTGCTTGTCTTGCCATGCATGTGTGGCATGGCAGGAGGTGGAATTACTGGGACTGAGAATTAGGTTGCATCACATCTCACAATGAAGTTCTGTCAGGGGTCTCAGTAGTTAGGTTTTTTTGGCTTTGGGAAAAAGATGCAAAGTGCCCAAAAGGGAAGCAATTATGAAGGAATGAATTATGAAATCACTGATGGATTTTTGTGCTAATATAATTCATATCGTTACATAGATATTTTCTTTAAAAACATAACTGAGTTTTCATACTAAATATTACAACATGTTGTGCAAATGTACATTTCCTTGTATGTGATGTATTTTCAATTTCTCATTATTGTTTGTACAGGTTATAACTGCTAAGAACAATGGGCAAGACTCAAACTATTTCAGTAGGTATCTTAATGAGGCATTGTCATGCTGACTTCAGAGAGTCTATTAAAGGGGGTTTCAAAATGACTCAATTAGCTACTTAATATTTTTAAAACATCAGCAGAAGTACATTTAGATGCCTAAGAGTGATTCAGATGTAGACACTGACAACCTTTAGAGAGAAAGGGAAGCATTAAGTGCTTCCATTAAAATCAGGAAGAGAAATACATGTATTTACACCTCTTTGATCTTGGAAATAATAATGTGTGTTTGCTTAAAGTGCTATTGTCCTTTTCTTTTCTTTATTAATTTTATTTTCTGCAAATTTCTTGAACACATAGAGGAATGAAAAGGATTATTTTTTCCTTTCATTCTCATTTGGGTCCTGTCCTACTGTACCTCTAAGCTGTTTAGGGGGGCATTCCATTGCACTCATGAGAGAGATGCCAAGAAGCCTGCCCTGCCTGCCCACCTCCCTATGCTACCAAAGTGGAATGAAGGTTGTGATACTATCTTTAGGTTACTTCATCTGCTGTTCTTGACTTCTCTGTCTCCAGTGTATTGGAAAGGATTGGTAGGGTCTCCTTCAGGGCAACTTCACTGTCTCATTTCTTGGTACCAAGGACTGGAATTTAGGACTCTCCCCTCCATTTAAGTGTCCTAACTCCTAAGTTACCACATCATGCTTCTTACATGCTCTCTAGCATGCTCCCTTGATTAAATTAATGAAATAATCCTGACAGCAACAACCAGAACCTGGGACTTTTCTTTTTCTGGGAAATTCCCTCTGTGTTAGGATCCAGAATAAGTTCCTCTCTTCTTTGCTTACTTGCTTCTTCTTCGGTCCCAATATCTTGCATTCTTTCTATCCATCTCCAGTAACAGCACAGAAGATGCCTACATAGCCCCTGATCTTAGGTCATGTTGCTGGCAAGGGAGCTTAGGGAGATGTTAGTTCAAACCCCCTGAGACTGAGCTGGGCCTGAGTTTTCCTGTAACCTGAACAAGTACCTTGTCCATTACACAGCAGGACAGAAGGTGGGCCCTGCTACCAGTCTTCCCTCCTTAACCACTAAGTGAATATTAGAATCTGTCAATTAAATGCAATAGTATACATTTACTTGAGTGAGATGGAGGCCAACAGCATATCTCCCCTCCTAGTGGGTTGGATCATTGTATCCCAACATATTGAAAGCATGTAATGCTGCCATAACTTTGTTCACTGTGAAAATGGGAGAAGCATATGTGATTCTCTGGGAAGAAAAGGAGGTACATAACACTTCCTGATGCTCCTTGTCAAGAGAAAAGAGTTATCTGTCTCCACGGGACTCAGGAGGACTAGTCTATGGGGTTCTACAAAGTTGAGAGAATGGGAAATCTAAAGGCACAGAGAGAAGTGACAATTTTTGCCTGGTCTGGCCCCTGAAAGCCCTCTATAGGGCTTAATACAAGTGCATGGCTGCAGAATGCTTTAAAAGGGCCCAGTCCCACAATAATCTTAATCCTTATTACATGAGGGTCCAGATGAAGGCACTCCAATGCAGATAACCTTCATTAACTTGTGTCTGCATGCACCCAGAGCAAGGCTCGGCTAATGCAGCCCAGCCCTGATCCTAGCACTGTTTTTGGAATCGAAAGGGAGGAAGGACGTGAAGGGAGCACATTCTGAGGGTTGCCCAGCCCCACAGGTGGGCAATCCACCTGGTCCACCCTCCAGAGCCAGCTGGGCAAACCCCCAGAATGAGCTCCCTCTGCTCCCTTCCCCCCTAACATTCTGAAAACAGTGCCAGGGCTGGGAGTAGGGAGGGGCTGGGCTAGGGAAGAGTGACTGCAGATTCAAAGCTGCTCTACACTGGAGCTCAATCCCTCAACCCCTGGCACCCAAGAGCGAATGTTGCAGGTCTGGGAGATTGTTGTAACTCATGTCACTTCACAGGAAGCATGATGAGTTACAGCAGGGAGCTGCACTTGTGTCTGCTCCCTAAGTGCCATCAGTGTGCAACAAGAATTTTTTCCTGTGGGAAATGAATAATTCTGGAGTAAGATCAAGATACATTTTTAGATGCCTTATAATTGGAATAGGATCTAGGGCTTGGCTTCTAATTGCCAAAGAGCATTTTCAACAAATAAATGCAACTTCTTGAAAGTCAACAGAAATTTTTCCTTTTAAAAAGTTAAGGACTACATTGCCATCCGAGACCTTAAAATCTCAGTACATCTAGATATTGTACATAAGTGTTTTACGTATTAGCTAGTTTCCTTTACATTATTACAAATTATGAAGATTTTTTAAGTTTCAATAAGCAAAACAATTCCCAGCACACCAGGAAATCAGAGAACATGATTTTTATATAATAATGTTATATTTTAATAGTGCTATTACCCGAGAACATCTTTCAGTCAAAGATCAGAACAGATGATGTATGGCAAAACATTGCAACATAAAACTGAGGTCTCCTATAAAAAT